GTGTTCATGTTTTTTTGTTTTTTTTTCCATCCAGACAGCTTCCCGCGCCCCCCCTGCAATGACACGGCGCCCCCACTAGAGGGCGCACCCCACAGTTTGGGAACCTCTGCCTTAGATAATCTTTTTCCTCTTGTAAATGTGCATACTTCTGAAAAATTAGCACATTAGAAAAACACGATTTAGCATCTTTCTAACTTTGAAAATGGCATATGTTGTGTCGTTGACAGATGGTGGATATCAACATGACTAAATTTAGTGCTTTAGGATTAGTTTCAGCTACTTCCCACGTTATCATAGGATGTTAGTGGAGCTAATGTATATGAATAGTGTTTCAGTGTTAGCACAGCTAACTTCTTGTCAGCAGTGTCCACCACTGAGCAAGTATTTTCATGAAAATTGCATTTGCTATGTTCGTCTTTGTTTGATGCTCAACAATAAATTTTTAATTGAGACAAGAGCAAAAACAGAAGAAATCCAAAAGTACATTATTGAAGCAGAGTATGTTACAATTTACATATACGTTTTGGGTATACACACCTGCGAAGGTTGTAATCCTTTTGAGCTCTGTGGAAAAGGAACAAAATGTGGGTAAAAAAACAACAAAAAAGAAAAAACATATTTTGGATTTATTCAGATCAGCTCTGTTTAGTGAGCTATAATGAAACCGAACTCCGGCAAATAAGTTCGGTTCACACCTCTATAAGCAAATGTCCAGTTTGTTTAGAGAGGTGTGAATGTGTAATCAAACGCTGCTGCTAACCAAGAAAACAAAGTCTGACGTGGTTCCAATGCACATATGAGTGCTAAGCGGATGATAGCACAAGGCATTCTAGTTACAGCCAATAGAAACACGGAAGTATTGTGCTAGTGGTTTTTTCCAAACAGCAAAAGAGAAATCCTACAACCACTAAAATCAGGTCCATTTTTGTTTGCATTTCGTGAAAAAGGAAATTGCGTCCAGTGTCTTCTTCAGAGGTTTTCATGTAATTTCCTTCAGTAGTTCTTGGAGCAGTGTGTAATTTAACAGGTTTTTCAAAGGGTTCGATTGGTTTGATACAATGCGGTGTGAAAGAGAACTGCACCAGTTGGAAATGTAACAAATGCTGTTTTTACACCTGATACTCTGGTAGACTTGCTTGGACTGACGACCAAAATGGCGTCATTTTAGAAAAACAAAGATTTACCGAGGGAAGAGAGGTTTTCCAGACGCCACTGGATGTCTTTCATCATGGTAGATGTTGTTGCTTTCAGGGTACCAAAGGAGAAGGAAGTGTCGACTTTTAGATCTTTAATCTCCTTGGAGCCATCCAGGTTTGAAGGTGGAAAGGCCTGTGTGTTGCAAAGGAGGGAGTAAAGAAGGAGGAGAGTTAAAGAAACAGAAACTTTTTTTCTTGTTTTGCTAAAATTATATTAAAAAAAGGGCGTGAAGGTGGAGGGACCCCTCACCTGCAAGTCTTGGCTTCTGTCCAGTTTATCAATGGAGTCTCTGAGTCTATCAATTTCTCCTTGCAGCTTCTGCAGGAGATTCTGTTCGTCTCTTTTTACCTTTCGCCTCCTAAGAACAGAACACACAAGGCTTTTAGTTTGAGTAAAACTCCATTAACTCGCTGTCATTTCAAGTATGCACAACATTTAATCAAATCCCCATATCGTTAGTTTGTACGCATTTCAGTGGCAAAGGAAGACACGATGGCTTAGGAAAATAAAGCTCCAGCATCGTAGCATGTGTTGTTAGATATGTCCACTTACACGTCACAATGGGAAACTTTGTAAAGCATTTATAAGGATGTTTTAAAACTGTTACTGAGATCAACATGGCTGACCTCTTCTCGATTGGCTCGAGAGCTTTCTTCCGAGCGTCTTCCACAACTTTCATCACCTCTGAGAAGACGCTGTGTATCTGCATCCATTCATCATCCAAACTGCCCTGAAAACAGGGATGGGAATATCCAGTAGGTATATCTGATAAATCCAAAATCAGGACCAACATGGCGGCAGCGTCTGCAGCTCACCTTGCAGCTTTTCACGGCTGATCTGACTTCAGTCATCTTCTGCTCTCGGATGTGAATTTTCTGCTGTAACAGAACCTTCATCCTGTCTTGCTGTGCCTTGACAGAAGGTGAAAGTAGGATGTAGAAATTTATTAAGGGCTTAGTATGATAGAAACGGGGGAGATTCACAAAGCAGTGCAAACTACTCTACCATGTGAAATGGGTTTGCTCCTGCTTTACAAAGCAGTTTGCACTAAACACATTTGTGAAATTTTCTGCAGTCATTTCCTGCTAATTGTAACCAAAATGAGTACAAATATTCCTATTTCATCTACAATTTGCATGCTGAATATGAATTCCATCTTTTAAGTAAAATCTACAGTTTTAAGAAAAATATATTCTGGCACCTCTGGGCACCATGGACATGTTGTCTGATTTAGAGGGACTTGATGTATCTCATCGAGAGCTGATCTTACTGTGACCAAAATTGCTTTAAAATTCCAACTAAGTAAAATCTGGAAACGAAAGCTTGGGTCACAGATATCATAGAAAAAATGTTTTACCTGCAGCAGCCTTTCAGCTCCTCTTTCTGTCTTCTTTACAGTAACTGCATCCTTATGTGTGTTTGTTTCAATTTCTGAGTCTGAGTCTGCCTGTAGAAGGGAAAAAAGGCCAACATAAAACAATTAAAACAACATAAAACAATTTAAAATAAAAAATCTGATGTTTATTGATTATTGAAAGGACAGAATTACAGTAAAAAAAACAAAAAAACAATAGCCCATATTGTAAGTAAAAATTCAGAGGTTTACAGATGTGACCAGCTCTGTCAAGCTTTACATCAACACACTTTATGAAAATCTAGAGGCGAAGTTTTAACTTTTACTTTCTAGAAGTGCACATTTTTTTCCGTCTTTCAGATGTAATGTAATGTCTGTCACATTTCTTATAATAATTTTCACTGTGTTTGTAAAACACTGCGTTTCCTTGATGGCTGCTGTGCCATTTTCTCTCTTGCTCTCGGTGTAGGTGGACGCTTTTTTCCTCTGCTTCCTCCCTGCCCTTGTCTGCCCTGCTTGCTCTGTTTTTGTCCTGTCTTTTTCTATATTTTTGGAGCCTTTCTTTGCACATCATCCAAATCTACAAATTATGGATCTGGTCAACTGATCTCTCGATGCAATTGATCAAATTTTCGACGAGAAGTCTGGGCACAGGAGAGCCCTCTTGTCCTGCGGGGACACACCCGGCGGGATTCACCCTGGATTTATTCATGATAACAGGATCTCTGCTGTTTGGAGCTTGTGGATTCCTGGATTATCAGCAAATTTGTGACGGACTTGGCCGATCTAGCAAACACTCAGACTGTTGGTGTGGACACAGATGAGGACTCTAAAACTCACTAACGAGTTGGAATCGATCTTGGAGAAGCTGCTAGTTTCGGTTCAGTGGAACAACCAAACTAATTTGGATAATTGGGAACTGAGATGTATCGGAGAGACTTAAGGGAAGATTGAAATTTATAATTTTCCCAACCTAAGAGATTCTGTTTCTGAATTGGCTTTCCCATGTCGCCTTGGAAGGGCTCCATATTTCCAATCTCCTTGAAGATATGTAAACATAACGCTCTTTCCCACCTCACCCCCTCCTGTTTCCATGGAGCTGTGGAGCTGAACGCTCCCAAGGACGTTCCTCAATAACAACACCTCTATCGGACTTGCCAGGAGCCTCAGCCACCTGGTTTCATGGCCCTTTAACGTCACCACCTTCACTCATGTCTCTGTTTTGCCCATTGTTTTGTCTGAATGTTGCCATTTGCCCTAATGTGTCCTTTCCTCTTTTTTGTTTTAGTTTGTTAGAAACGGTGGAGTACTCACTATTTAACCCAGAAAATGATTATTTTAGTTTATCAGCAATATTAGAAATTGTGGAGTACGCACTATTTAGTTCAATATTATACAGGCCAGAAATGGAATCAGAATTAGAATTAGAATAACTATGAACTTAGAATCCAGAAATCCTTAACAGGAACATCACTGCTTAGTTTATATTACTTTTAACCCATAAAAGGATTTAGTTATCTTTCTTCTTTTTGTCTTTCCTATGATTTGTTATTTTTGTTTGTATTTCCTTTTAATTTAATAAAGCACTTTGAATTGCCTTGTTGCTGAAAATGTGCTATATAAATAAAATTGCCTTACCTTACCTTCTATTCACTCATATTATTCGGACACCTTAAATATAATCTGGTGCAAAAGTCCAGCTGTTCTGAGTTTCATGGGACCAAATAAAACACATTTTTCTATTTTTATTTGCAAAAAATGTCAGCAAACCTTCCGTCCTTTTTCTTCCCCTTCATTGTGGTCAGGATTGAGCTACAAATGTGTGAAGGACAGCACCATCTAGTGGTGGTAATATGGCGTAGATTTTGGGTCATTCTATATTAGGACCCAAAATAAGGGCCATTACCTCAGTAGGCTTAGGTTATTTTATGGTTAGAAGGCATCATGTCAAAGAAACAGCTTTAAAATTTGAATGCAAAGGTATTTTATGTTTTGATGGTTTTGTTGGTCATTATATTTTAGGAGAAGTACACCACATTCAGAATCATTATGACTTCAAACATTACTCTTAACTTCATAGGAAAGTTACTGTACCATAAGACAAGCAGAAGAAAAGTCAAGCCTTCTGCAGGCGTTGTCCGAGGATAGAAAACCATGACGGAAAGGTTGTGGAGTCTGAAAAACTACAAAGGACAAACATTACTCACACCAAATGTCGCTAAACATATTTAACATGGTGTTTATGAAACTTACTTGATGAGTCGGACTCTGTTAGCAGGATGCGTGATGATGGAGAGCTCATCAGATCTGTTGACAGTGATGATGCATCTGTCTCTGTCTGCTGAAAAAAAAGTATTCAGAATACATTTTTAAGGACACAGTTTCACCCAGAAAATCCAAAACACTTAAACTGAAAACTTCCTGTACCTGGGAGCCAAATGGAATTGTGGTAGTATTCAAGGTTGGAACCATTTGTTGAGAATCCTGCTCAGTTTTGACCACTGTAGGAGGAGAAAGACCGTTGGCCAGTATTAATTAAAGCAGCTTATTTCATTTTCCATCTGGTGACATTATGATCGTGCCAGTCCTCTACCTCGTTGGTTCATGTCCTGTGTTAGTTTTTGAGTGAGCCCATAATTCAGTTGGGTGGGGAGGTTTGGAGATATGAACAGTTTCTGTCAGAGAGAAGTAAAATATGTTTTAGCTTCTTAACTCCCACATTTACCAGTCAATGATTGGTTGAATTCATTCACATGTTTGTGTGTCAATAGTATCTGGATTTAATTATACCTCCTCCTTTACTGGAGTGTTCAGAATTGACCAGTTGTCCATTTGATAAGGTTGCTCCAACATGTTGCTCCGGAAGTTCTGGTTACTCTCTGGGATCCTTAGTCCTTTTGGTGTGCATCCCATCATCCCCTGGTGAGTTCTCAGTCCATGGTAAGTGGTTACTTTGGACCAGCCACAGTGGCAAACCTGCAGCTCCTCAAATCCTGAAGAGTCTTATCGAGACACAACAAAAATAATAATCTCTTTTAATAAACAAAGCGTTAGTTAATGAAAATCTTTTCAGCAAACAATTCAAGACATCATGTCAAAGAAACATGGTCAAGGTCTGAGGAAATTTGCAAATTTCCTCAGACCTTGAGAAGATACAGCAGAAAATAACTTTTGGACGTGGACAATGATTAGTTGATTTGTTGACATGAAATGTTAAAAGTGTCCAGGACAGCACCCCCAAAATTTCTGACACACTTCAGGACCCGATGGAGACAGTTTGTTCCCCATTATCTAATAGCAAGCTAAGTACCGACTGTCCTGATTGACATCGTAGCTGTGTGCCAAATCTGTTTCTTTTGGTTGAGACACAATAAGATCAAAGGAATATGATGGATCATTTTATGTGCATGAAGTCTCGTCTCAAAACAGAGCAGTGGACTTTTGAGCCATGGGGATTTTCTTCACACGTTGCCTATCTAATTTTCTTTTACATTTTGGCAGGTCGAGTTAAGCTGTCATGTTCCAATAGAGTTCCATTCCCCTGACGAGGTACGCAATGATGGTTGATAATGTATTAGCAGTAGAAAACTATTGAATATGATGACTCTGAAATGATAATCTGATTCTACACCTAACCAAAAGTCTGGCCTTGTTTCTTCGTTCTTCTTTAAGATCTAGAATACCAAAAACTGGGATGAGTTTTTCTTGGCGAAACAGACATATCTTTGATTTTTGCAAAACACAAAGTGTGTTAATTTTACTATAAACACAGATTAGTTGCAGTTAAACCCAAAATTATCCATATCCCAGCTCTAGGCATGTGGATTTAATATTTTCATTCAACCACAAATTTGTTTCTTATTGGACAGGAAATAAAAGTTAATAGAAATAGTAAAATAAAGTTTGGGTTTTGACAAATCGAAATATATTTACATGCTTTTCAAATAAAAATGAAATTCAATGTTAAAAATAATTTCCAACCTCAATAATCAATGAATAAATCTTTATTGACAATACAGCAGTCAAACCCTTTTTATAACTGCTGACAAGCGTTACTCCTGTGCTTTGACTATTTTAGTAAGTTCCAAAACTTTTATTTCAAAGCCCTCCAAGCCAAAACCCCAATCTTTTGCTGGGCTGTGGTTGTAACACTACAAAATTTTAAAAAATACATATGTTCTTCTGAGGAACTATTGGTCTTCATTTAAAACTTCCAAAAATTACCACAATCAAGAACAAAAAGTGTGCCTGTGCAAGCTTAAGCAGATAAAATGATCATTGCTAAATTATGGAAATAGTAACAGATTATTGAACAAGTTGAACATGAAGAACTGTTTCAGCTCTAAAATAAAACGCTCACCAAACTTCATAGGAGTCTTGAAGATATCGACTGAAGTGATTAGTCTTGGTTGGATATAACTTCGTGGAAAGTAGCTAACTAGTTTGTTCTCCGGGATGTGCATTCCCTTCGGGGTGCATCCCATTTTCCCCTGGTGAGTTCTCAGGCCCTGGTAGGTGGTACATTTGGACCAGCCGCAGTGGCAAACCTGGAGACTCATGTCTGACAGGGTGTGATCTGAGGTCTAGCCTGAGTGAAACAGAAATAACATCAGTTCTTTTCAGTCACTTCTGAGACCAGCTGCACCGAACCATTATTTACCTTCTCTGTTGGGTCTGTGGATCGTCTTTCCTGAAGTTCCTGTTAAAGAACAATGAGTAAATATATTATTAAATATAATTTTCTTTAAAAGAGCATTTTATTATTTCAATTCATTCTTTTGTAACTGAATTATTTCATGGAACATTTAATTATTTGCATATTTCATAATTTCATAACATTTAATTATTTATTGATGTAATTAATTTTATGATGCACTTGACATTAATGGGAGATTAATAGGAGATTTACACATATGTATTTTAAGGTATATTTATTTAATTTTGCTTTTTGCTGCCTCTCACCCTCCATATAAAAACGCGTGATTTGTCTCCCTCTGGTGGTACTGATTGTGTTATACAGCTCGGAGCCTTAGACTAAAACTTGTTGCAGATAGTGCTCATTTAAACACAAACTGTAAGAATAAAAAACTACTTTAAAGAAATACTAAAAGACAATGTATGAGTATACTAAACCTTATAAAGATCACTGAGGTGAAGTAGAGTGTAGAATCAGACAAATCTGTATCTTTTACTTTGTAGCACTTTGAAATTTGCTTATCAAATATAAATGAATTTATTTACATCTACAAATAATTCATTAATAGAATTTTGTATTATTATTATTATTATTATTATTATTATTATTATAAAGATACAAACTGAAATTTTTCGTATGTTGGGTAACCCGGATCACAACTTTACAAAACATTTCAAAGGAACACATGTAGAACATTTTCTCATGGCTAATATTTGAGCTTGCATAATGAACTGGATCATCATTATGAAAAGATAAACCGCTTTCAGCTGCTCCATGTTTATCAAGGGCCTGAACCACACAGGTGTTTGCATAGCCAGGTAAATAAATAGGCCACCCAACTGCTGGATACATTTCACTGAACATCCCGGCTCTGTCCAGATGAGGGCGCTGATTCATTCACATTTTGCCACGGATGTTTTCATTTCATGTGGGCTGTCATTGGTGGCCCATTTCCTTCCAAAATCGTCGTGATACAGTTTATTATTTAACAGTAACAGGTGCATGCGTCTGCACGCCGCACTTTTCAGATTTTAGTGTGTGAAATGTTTTGAAAATGATGTACAATTTTCCTTCCACGGAGAGTCCTGCAAAGTTATAACTTGGGGGAATAAAAGAAACATTAAATAAACAGAGACTCGATAGCCGAAACGGTCAGTCCAGTTAACACGAAGCACATAATCACACCCTGGCTGGACTTTGAAACGGCCACAGAGATTTATTGTTTCTGTTTTCTGCATCTGATTTGTTTAAGTCGGAAAGCAGAAACTGTGCTACTGACGTTTCCCAAGCTGCAGACACGCCTCACTTGCTAAATTGGAGTTTTGTTTTCCACCTAAGAACAAAGACACATTTTACCCCGCTTCTTTTTTCTTCTTTTGCAGTCATATTTCTTTTCTTCCCTCTGAAAGCATGACAACACTGCTGAAACTTTTCCTTTACTACTACGCAGGATGTTATCATCATTTAAACATTTGCGATTTTTGTAGTTATTTTATTTTTACTCTTCGCTGCCTGGAAAGTATTCTTAAAGTTTGACCAGCATAATGCTAAACGACTAACTTACAGTTTGATCACTCTGACAGACTTCAGTGAAAGCCAGTTGGAAGTGCAGACACGTACCTGACGCTGCCTCACGTCGCTGCGCCTCCGTCCGGTCTGATGGTCATTCCTCCTCTCCTGCTTTGACTGCTGAAAGCTTTCGGTTTCATTTCAGCCAAAAGAGAGCCGGAAATATCAGAAAGGTATAGGCAGCATCTGTTGTTTTTACAAGGCTGTTCGGATGTTGTTAAGGTTTTAGCCGCTTGACTAAATGCATTCCACATACTTTTGCTAAAAAAAAAAAGCGGTGCTGGTATTAATCACGATTTATCACTGCTTCAACTATGAACACTTTAACAAAATATTTGCCTCAAACCAAAAATGTCTGAAAATTCTCAGTTTTAGAGATTTTTATGTTCAGGAAGTGTTAAATGGATTCATTTTGCTTACGTTCATTTAGGAACCTCTCATTTCATATGACAGTGAGGTGACAGTCGCCTTGACCTCATCGTGCATGTGAAATTTCCAGTTTGAGATTTTTGAAACTCAGAAAATGTCCAAAATCGATTTTTGGGGGACCATTTCTGACTTTTGAAACTCAGAAATGTCCATGTTTTTTTCTAGAATATTTCTGAGATAAATCTAAAAACGGCCTTGTTTTTTCTAAAAACATCGAGTTTTTTCTGCAGAACTTTACTCCAATTTTCTCTATCTTCAACGGCCCTAATAACATTGGCTGTTCTTCAGATGATCAAATAAACTACCGAAGATAACCTGAGGAATAAATACAAAATGTGGTTTTGAAACAATTTTTATTCAGACTGAAGGATACAGTGGTGTATTAAATTGTAATACACCACTGTATTACAATTTGTATTGTATTATTATAATAAAATTGTATTAAAAAGGGAGAAAAGGGTCACGGCCCCTTCTTGGGAAAAATGTTTTCAGTAATATCATATTTTTCAGGAGTTGCCACTGAAAGGATACAAAGAAGCCATTTAAACATTGAGCACAAATATATCTTCAAGCCCCTATAAGGTAAAAAGTAACTAAAGATACATCAACTACTAAAATAAAAACACTGGACAAGAGTTAGTTTTACAAACTTTAATATAAAACCTTTTTTATCTGTCATGTATAAGAACATACATGTGATCTTAAAGCAACAGGAAGTCAGGTTATGTTTCTGGTAGAAAAAAACAATGGGAAAACTGCAAAGAAACAACGGGAAGCAAACAAGTAACATTTTTATAATGTGACAAAACATGGAGCAGCTCTAGGAACTGGAATACCTTTAGTAAGACATATAACCTTCAACACTGTGAGAAAAAAAGTTTTAACAGTCGAAATGTTCTAAACATTCATAGAAAGTAATGTTGTTCAGCATTCACCCTAATGTTCTGAAAGGCTTCTCCTTTGGTCAAAAACTAAAAAAAAAAAACTAAAAAAACTTTTGGTGCTTATTTCTTAAATAGTTTTAACAATCGCTAACTTCTTGTTTGAGTTAGGATGCTTTTTATTTTGGAGGGACAATTTCCTGTTTAACAGTTGGTGCAAAGACTCCAAAGACACATTGAGTTGTAAAGATTTTTAAATGTTTTAAACATTGTGTGACTTAAACTGTGCATTTTTTTTGATTGTGTGCAAAACTAAAGTTATTTGAAGTCGTAAACATTATTTTAATTTAAAATGGTAATTTCCAATATACTTAGAACAACAACCGTCTTCAGAAACGCAGTCGAACCTTAACAATGCCTACATGGATAATTATAAAACTGATAATGGTGCAGGTGACCATGATAATGTTGAAATCGCCATAGTAACTAATCCGCTACCACTCTTGTGAAACTGAATCGAGGCTTAATTGAGCCAGGACATTCAACTTCAACCATCTTCCTGGTTTTGTGAAGCAGCCCACTGATCATCAGTAAAACTCTTCTGTAACACCAAGTAAACAACTTGACCTAAGAATGAAAAAAAAAACAAACCACACCACTCCCACTCTGTATGGTTTCTCTTTCAAAGGAAATAGAAACCCAAGAACTCCGGCTGGTGCATGTCTGCACTGCAGAACGACAAATTACATAGAAAGCTGCTCTTGTTGTTGTTTGTTACCTAAGCATTCTTTTGGCGGTCTGATATGCCCAGACAATAACCCATCTGGTTCCTAGCAACTCCCTCTCTCAGTTGGAACAGGAAGCAGCTCAACCTGAGTGTCAGTGTTTCGGTTCAACTCCCAAAGTCAGATCATTCCTGCATGTGTGTACACGCTGACGCCTCTCAGCTCCTAATCTCTGTTGAGCCTCTGTATAAGTACCTAAAACCCACACAACCCATTTGTTTGCTTATTTTACTCAATCAAAAGCATCAGAAGTTGCATTAACTCCCATTCAAACCAGCAGGGGAGTTGGGAAGCTGTCAAATACCTACACAGCGATGATCTCTGCACTGTTTTCAATTGTACATTTGCTACAACGTGTCTGTGAACACATGCTGCACCTTGATCACAGAAAGCAGCTGAAACACTCTTCATTCAATTTTACGATGTTCAAAGGAGACTTTTAAATTTACGAGACAGAACATTTTTAGTAATCTTTGTCGGTATCCATTGAACAAGGACCACAGTAAAGTATGCTGTGAGTCAAACCATCAACAAGGCATATCAAAGCACAGTGTAAGCGTGCTAATGTTAGCTTAGCCTAGCAGCACAATGCATTTTTTTTGTTGTTGTTTTTTGTTTTGAGTGCTGTCATATTTGTCAATTCTGAAATGAGTCAACCAGAAAGGGATGGTTGAGGTGTCGTAGTAGTAGCCACCATGCTGCTTGATAGATATTGGCCGGATTTCACTCCAGGGTTTCCCCCAGTGTATTATAAGCCTGGCGGCCCGCCATGTTTCACTAGCCCCGCCGCCAGGCTAAGCGCTTGTTTATGTTTCTAGGAAAATAAAAATAAAAAAATCTTTTTTTTTTTTAAAGCTGGGCTGCTAGCATCTCTTTTGCTCTTAGCATTTCACTAGCAGAGCAGATTTATTCCTAAAGGATAGGTTTATAAAATACAGGTTTATAGTTTATGCATTTAAACCCGACAACGTGCGGTCTAACCACACAGCTGGCGCCTCTGCGCTTTGCCTCACCCGCTGCCGCTGCTTTACCTCAGTGGGATCGCGCATGCCTCCTTTCACTCAAACTGGACACAGGCTGACGTGTATGGATATTTACATCAACTTACTGTGAGGAATTATGATCCTTTGGAGAAACTCTAGGTAAGACTTTAAAACCCGCCGTGTTGATAAGCCCGTTAGCGTTGCTAAACTTAGCAAGTTTTCTGGGGGAAACCCTGCACTCTTTTTGCAAATTCAGTTTTATTTTCCTCTCTTTTCATCCACTCAATTATGAAACAAGAGCGAACGATACTTGATTGTTGTTTTTACCTTTCAAAAGATTTTTAGCTAATGCAAAACAATGCAAAACCAACCGCAGGCTGTTAGCATTGAGCAATCATCTATACAGAAACATGAAAAGAATGCTTTCATGTAGTTTTCTTGATGAGTCTTTTTACATTTGGATATGGATTTTTTTTTAAATAATGATTTGATTCTTCTGTTCTTATCACTTTGTAAACATTTTTTTTAGGAATATAGTTTAATAAATATGTTCTTTCTTTCTGGAAATGTAAACGTCTCCACCCCTTTAATTAGTCCTGGTGGGAGCCAATCCCTTAACAGCCAGGTGGTTCAGATGACAGGGAGTTTCTCCCTCCTCTTGTTTGACTGCATGACATGCTGTAAAATGGATTGAGGTGTGTGAAGCTGGAGATAAAGAAGCAAGTTGAGTGCTCTAAAGCTGCTGGTTTCAGTCTGATCTTTGGTCGCAAACTAACACTCTTACTTGTAGCAGTCAAATTATTTTCCATTTTTACTAGAATAGAACCTGATTGTCTATTAAATGCTCAAGTTACTATAACAGTTTCTCTCCTTTCCCTAAGATTTCCATTCTGTCCAAAACTATGAGGTTGTTGTACCAAAAGTTAGCCTCTGTGTATACATTTTAAAAATAGTTGATATGGGATGCTTACTTGGAGAGATACTCTTGGAAATGCTTAATTCTCTACTTCAAAACTTTTTACAGTAATACTTGGAGACTTTTAATTTTGTTTCTCTCTTTTAGTTGGACAACTTCTCCCTACATGGTCTTAGTTGAAAACATCCGAGCCAGGTCCTTCACCTGAAACACATAAAGCAATAAGTCCTTCTGATGGCACCATAAACCTAGCAACACGCAGGATAGACGGAAAAATATGGCACCAGAGTCTAAAGTGCGGTTAAAGTAGGCTGAAGTGATGTCTCACCTTTGACCTAGTGGACAAACCTGCGACCTGAGACGATTCATCTGCTGTAGCCAAAAATCAGAAAGTCATCGTGATAGACCTGAGAGTAATAGCATTTTTGAAGATCTGGGATTATGTAGCAGCAGAGGTTTACATACAGGGTCTGTGTTCCTGATGCATGGTGGGCTTTAGTGCTGCAGTTTTCATTTCAGAAGGGGTACATGTTGAGTCTGGTAACTTCTGCTGGAAAACACAGATTAGACCAAATTAAGCCTCGGTATAAAACATTATTTATGTAACAAATAAAAAAAATCTTCCATTAAAAATGAAGTTACTGATAATCAGATGATCTGTATGGAACCACCATGTTTAAGATCCACCCAGTCAGAGGGCGAGTCTCTTCAGCAAACGAGTTGAATGTAGAAAAACGCAACACATGGTTTCTGTTTCAAGGAAACTAAACACTCCAGGAAGTGCATATTGTTTGACGACTTCCATGGAAACCAGTTTTTATTTTTTATAGCTCAACCTTTCCTGTTGTGGTTTTACACACCCAGACACCAGCTGGCCCAGTTGTTAACCAGCAGCTTCAACTGTTGCAACAAGAAGAGCTCAGGGCCTCAGGGTGTCGGCTCCACCAAGATAAGACTTCAATATTATAATATTCACTATTACATTTTTCAAAGCGGCACACGTGCTGAAAAACCATGTTTCTGTGACACTGGACCTCTGCATGTGTGTACACACCTTGTCTTAACTCCGTAAAGGCCACTAATGCCACAAGACAATATTTTCATTAAAATGTTTCAACTCTGCATTAATATTCAGTGACCCTGAGTTAGAAGCCATTTTGGTATCTATGTAAAATGTTTAAAGGTTGGTATATTGTTTTACAATGTAATTATTCTTTA